TGTGAACCGATTACAATTTCTGGCTCCGGTTTATTACCGGTTTTTTTCTCAAAAAACCGGTTTTTTTAGGTATTTTTAGGTTTTTTCCATAAAGGCTAAATAATCACTAAATAAAACAAATTTACGTACAAACGAAGAGTTTTCTTCATACAATTAATTGGGTGAGCATATTTTATATAGGCTTTTAATGATCATATATATTATCCAATAATAAAAAGCTTTTTATTTTTGATTTAATACTATTGTATTAAATAGTGCATACTAGTGTATTTTGATTTAATACTATTGTATTAAATCAAAATTTTGATGCAAGAGGCATAGTTGGTCCACTGCGTCATTCAGAAGCCTGCTCCTTCTGGATGTTAGCACGTGCCAGCAATTTCGGTCTGGTTTACTGTGGCGGCTTCAGTCTCAATATGCATTCGCACTATATTCACTGCGGCCGCCGTGGCGTTCGGAATATCCCGTTTTCGCGAAGGCAAAAAATATTGTGGTTTTTCTGGCTGTTCCGATGATAAAGCGTTGAAAATTCTTCAAGAAGATTCCCCAGTTCACGATGCACCATCTCTTGTGCAGACAACATGTGCTCTGGTTGGCGAAAGCCATTTCTGAGTGTTGGGTGCAGATATGTGGATATTTGGGTCACGGTCCTCATTTCGTACGCTAAAAGTCTACCAACCATATTGTGGTTATTGCACTGTAGTTTTTAAATGTAATGCACGGTAATTTGATTCTGAAACACGGTTTTTTTTATATTTGTAGCTTGTATATTTGATCTGGTAGCACTGGTGTGAACTGTGAATGTAAAGCGTAAAAAACCGGTATTCTTAAATAAAAACCGGTGTATATCGGTAAGTATAAAAACCGGTTTTTCTCCGGTTTTCTTCGAACCGGTTTACATCCCTAGTAATAATATCTTCGGAATCAGCTTTATTGAACGACTACTCCATCCTTTGAACCGATATAAGGGACTGCTTCGATAAGAACAAGCAGGATGGCGGTGCTTACCGATGCGTGGTTCCACGAGCCCTCACACCAGTACGCAAACAACAAAATGGTTTTTTTTTATTGCATATATGGTTTGACGAGCTCACAGCCCACCTGGTGTTAAGGGTTTACCGGAACCCTTAGACATCTACAACGTAAATGCCATCCCCACCTTGAGATATGAGTTCTAAGGTCTCAGTATAATTAGGTACATGCAGAGTTTGATTTTTATAGCACGATGTTATTCCTTCAGCATTTTTCCTTGCCTGCCTATACTGGTAGCCTTGAGGGGTTACCAACTTCACCGAACGTGTAGGCGAGCTCACGGGGCTCAGCCCTTCAGCATCAGTCTTTCAAGATTGTTACCATACTGAGACCTTAGAACTTATATCTCACAAGTGGGTGGCGCATTTACGTTGTAGATGTCTATGGGCTTCAGTAGCCACTTAACACCAGGTGGGCTGTAAGCTCGTCCACCCATCTAAGCATAAAATAAAAATCGGACACATGCTCAGTCGTATCCCTCAATACAAGTACACAGAGGAACGCCAACTTGTTTTAACTTTGTTCTAATTGACAAATATATGTCTACCCTTAAAAAGAACTTAACTTTTGTTAATTGCCATTTGAAAATAAAACTCCATTGAGTTTGCTACGAAAAAGAAATTTATTCACAATATTTATTTATTTATTACACGGCTGATACATCCAATACTTTAACACTGGAATGCGGAATACAAAGAGAGCTTTGCTTTTTGCAATACATTGCGGAGTGGGAATGCGGCGTTTAGATAAATACATTTATAAGAACATTTCTTCGAGATATTAAACGACAGTTTGATGTTTGATGACTACAGAATTATTCGGAAAAATAAAAATAATTTTGAGGTTCATCGCGTCATTTTATAAAGATGATTTTCAATTTTATAATTGTCGGTACTGTTTCTGAAACTATATTTAGCAACATTAAAAAAACTGACTACTTATGCGGAGAAATATTCACAAAAAAACTCTTTTTTTAATCCCAAAATACAACATGCTGTATACAAAGAACAATATACTTTTAAAACATCGCTTAATTAATGTAAGTACATTCTTATTTATCATTCTAGTTTTATATTGTTCGAGTTTAAATAAAAAAAGTGATTAAATACACAATAATAATAATAATTAAAAAAACTTAAATTTTCGTCTAAGGAAATGTAGAAAATAATGTAACATGTACCCTGAAAGCTAAAATGAATCAAAGTTCTCTCTTCAAAAATAACCATCTGTTTTTTGGATTATTTTCATGGGAGCTTTTATTTGAATCCAATATCGACATATAAAAGCGCTAGTTTATCCTTAACTAAAAAAAGTGATGTATACATTGGCATTACTCACACTAAATATCATAATGTTATTTCCATTTTTTTGAAACGAAAAGCTTTTTATTATGTGTCTGAAGCGCACATTAAAATTTACTACTGCAACACTGACAAGACGTTAACAGAATCAATGACATGTGTCAGAATATATAACAATTATTCGCGACACATTACCACGATCAACTCTAATAAACATTTTATATCTCATTAATGAATAGGCTATTATTAATTTGAAACATCAACATTCTACTCGCTAGGGTACATTTGATTACATTTATTTAATTTGACGAAAGACTAATTCCATGTGCAGGATTCGATTCAATCATCTTGAAGTTTCCTATTCTTCTTCCTTTACAAATTCGTTTCTTAAATCATCCTGTACTCTGTTATGTTGGAATTACAGAAGCAGCTGCACATGACAAAGGCTTTTATTCTTCTGCCTGACCCGCCGAGTCTAGAATGATCTCGAACGAGAAGGGCTGGAAGAGGTAGCCTTCTCCTCCGTAGAACTTGCTCTGGAACTCGACCCTGGGAAATCGAACATGAATTACTTTAAAAAAACATCCTCAACTACGTTGTGACAAACAATGTTTTGAAAAGATTTTCGTAACAAAGAAAAAAAAAAACACTTAAAATTAGTTCTGCATTTGCACCTGAGAGGTGTCATTTAGTTGGAGAAAATGACCTCATTTGTCCATTACCAATATAATAGAGAAGCTGAAAAGCACATCAACATGTAAGATATTCAAAAGCCATCGCTCTGTTTTCGTCCATCTTGAAAGCCTAATTTAATATAAAATGTGTTCACAAGTGCTCACGGGCTATATGTTGCCAATAACTTTTGTAGCAAAACAACTTAGGACTGCCTACTAGGCTTTAACAACGCAGTAAAGTTTACATTCTGATTTATGAATATGAATGAATATTTAAAAAAAACTAATATTTAAAAAAATTTATCTAATATTAAAAAAAAAAAAAAACATGCCCGCTGAGTTTGTTGCCAATTCTTCTCAGGACGGAGGCTAATTCTTGTGAATTGGCGGTAATTCTTTTGACGTTCAACAAGTATGTACTTTCATTTATGTTGAATAAAACTTTTTTGGTTTGATTTGATTTGATTAATCCATTTATGTATACTGCATATGGTAATCAACGATCATTCTAAATACATACATTGTATTGTGTTCCGGTAAGGTAATAATTTTGTTCCCGAATAGTTATTTGAATGAGGCCTTCGCTCCTGGCCTTTTCATTTTTCATTATTATTATTTTTTTTAATTATATTTATTGACTTGTTTTTCCGTTTATTGTAAATATTTTTACTTATTAAAAAAAAATAAAAAATTGAGAAAAAACAAAAAAAAGCCTGCTGTGTTTGTTTCGCCGGTTCTTCTCAGGACTGTGGCTTTTTTTGGAAGCGGTGGTAGAGTTAACATTGTTATTTATATTTTGACATTCAAGAAATGTGTTATGCTGACATCTAAGTTGAAATAAATGATTTTGAATTTGAATTTGAATGGATGAAATGTATTGGTTTGGTGTGTGCCCATACCAGTGCAGACGCAGCGTGTGCAGGAAGGCCGAGAGCCCCTCCATGAGCACGAGGATGGAGACGGAGATGGCCGCCCAGCCCGCGAACACCACGTACAGGAAGATCCCGCCCTGGTAGTCGTTGGACATCAGACCTGCACAACATATGGGGTTGACTTACAGACAGAGCAGACAATGGGCAGCTAGCTACATGAACAGAACTGAGGTGGACATTATTCAAATTATTCATGTCGATTATAAAACATGTATGTATATGTAGGTACCACCGCGCTGCCTATTTCTGCCGTGAAGCAGTAATGCGTTTCGGTTTGAAGGGTGGGGCAGCAGCTGTAACTAGTACTTGAGACTTTAGAACTTATATCTCATGGTGGGTGGCGCATTTACGTTGTGAATGTCTATGGGCTCCAGTAACCGCTTAACACCAGGTGGGCTGTGTGCTCGTCCACCCATCTAAGCAACAAATAAATATATATATACATAAAAATACACACAAGGCATCTGTTCAGTTGTTTTAATTTCTCTGTATGCACCTGTTTTGAATTGCAATCCAGATTGCTATATTAAATATTTAAACTTATAATTTATTTATTTATACTTTATGCACAAAACAAAACTTGTACATAGGCGGACTTAATGCCATGGGCATTCTCTTCCAGTCGACCATAAATATATATGGTTGTAATTTGTTTTGTGCATTAATAAAGGAAAAAAGAAAAAAACCTAAAGTTAAAAACTTTTTGAATATTCCCATTATTCTGGATCCAAAGCAGCTTATAAGGTTAAGGTTGTTATAACTTTAATCCGAAATGGTTGTTGTTTTTTATTTTTGTTTTCTGTATGAAGGATTTTTTTAAATTTTTACAGTACAACAGCTGCCCCACCCTTCAAACCGAAACGCAATACTGCTTTACGGCAGAAATAGGTGGTGGTACCTACCTGTGCGGACTCACAAGAGGTTCTACCACCAGTAAAATAAGACCTAAGAAAACTGTAAAATTGATGCGTTGCTCGTGGCGACTGGATTTGTAAGGGGGTTTGGTGTCATGGCGGACATTGCTTGTAGATGTAGGGGAATGATACCCTGCCCCGCTTAGCTTACTATGCAGTTATAGTAATGAGCAACATACGTTAGTCAATCAGTGATTAACGTGCAGCGATCCACCGCTCATACTGTAATCATACTCAGTGTTTTATTGACCGCTCCGATGAGGTTTATGGAGGACAACACGCAACAAACAACCAACGCACACGCCTCCTCCTCCGTCATCACCCCAGAAACCTCACATAGATATTTGATTGCGTACCCTTCCTGAGCAGCATGTTCCAGGCGACCTCAGCGAGCTGCGCGTGCGCGAGGGAGAGCGCCCACAGCCGCAGGTACGACGCCGTGTGCGACACGCTGCCCAACACGAACTCTATGGTGTGGATGGCCTGCGGACAGACATCGTCGTTACTTATCTATCTCACATTTACAATACACTAGGGTCAGAAGTGATGAAGAAACAAAAATACTGATTTGGCTTAAAGGACTTTGTTACCAAGCCAGTAAAATTCATTAAAAAAAACACTATAGTCAAAAAGAGCTTCTGCTATTCGTTTACCTGGTGAATGAAGACCTCGGTGATCTCTTCGTCGTGATGTCCCGAGGCCGGGACGGGAGCGCCGCCCGCCGTGCCGTTCTCGGCGTTACCTTCTACCGGCTGGTGACCTTGTCTCTGGAACGTGAATAATTGATACTTCAAAAACATTGGAACAATACGCTGTACTTATATTCGTGTGATAATGTATCATATAAGTGTCAATAATATTACAAATGTGAAAGTTAGTTTAGGTTTCTGTAAGTAAATCACGCAAAAATGATTCAGTCGATTTTTCGTACGAAGATAATTTATAATCTAAACGAACACATAGAACCCTTCATATTTGCATTTTGGTTTGAGGAGTGGGGCACCCGTTGTAACTATATACTGAGACCTTAGAACTCATATCTCAAGGGGTAGCGGCATTTACGTTGTAAATGTCTATGGACTCCGGTAACCACTTTACACCAGGTGGGCTGTGTGCTCGTCCACCCCCATCTAGGTAATAAAAATTTAGAAAAATATAGTAATCGATGCCATGCCGCGGGCGGCTCTAATAAAGTCAGCAGGACGTTCCCAGGCTCGTGGTGCTTTTATCCCGGACCAGTGCAACGTGGTTGACTATAATCGAGACACTCACGGCGCGCTGCTTCTGCTCGCGCATGATGAAGTACGGCTTCCCGAACAGCATGATGGGCACGCACAGCAGAGCCACGATCACGAACAGCTGGAACAACGCACGGACAATGTTATTAACTTTCCAATATATTTGTGACATTTGTCGGACGGATCGATCTTCTGGGACCTCCGAGGTAACTATATTGAGACCTTCGAACTTATATCTCAAGGCGCATTTACGTTGTAGATGTCTATGGGCTTCAGTAACCACTTAACACCAGGTGGGCTGTGAGCTCGTCCACCCATCTAAGCAAAAAAAAAAAAAAAAAATTCCGAACAACAACATTCTATCGAGCAATATCACCCGCTCCGTAGAAGACTTTTGCTTTCATCGTTATACCTACAGCATCGTATTTCTATAAACACGATTTATTATTAAAAACGTGGCAGAACAGATTTGGCTTTAGTAGTGGAAACATATTATGTAAGTAGTGGAAACACATCATATAGTGTCAGTCACAGTTTTCTTTTATACTAGAGGTCCCGCAGTAGTCGAAATTCGACTATAATTAATTGGAATTGTAAGTTTGTACACATACTATAATCAAAAATTTCGCCAAGGTTACACCATAAAAAATATTAATAAAGACAAACAATATTTAATCTATTCTCAATTTGACCACAGACGTCAAGAACAAAAGTTTGACAATAAATAAATAGTATGCATGCGTGTGTGCGTCAAGTACATGGTATGTAGTCTGTGTAATGTTTTCTTTATTGATTTAATGTATCTTTTACGCATTATTTAAAAAAATATTAGCATTGTGCACTTCTTCTCTATATTCTCTATATAGTGTGGAAAATTTCATACTCCTCCGTCCGCGCAATTTTCGTAAAAAGGGATAAGTTTTTGCTTCACGTATTAATATATAGATAAAGAGCTCCTGGACCCACCCCGTGACAGTACCACGAGATACTACTCCGCGAGTGCTAAGGAATTGTTTGACTGTGTGTACGTACATATGTACGTACGTACGTACGTGTACACACACACACGCACGCACTGCTATTCAACGGGTCCTCATATCGACTTTTGAATTCTCGGAGGTTCCGCAGCAGCAGACACTAGGCGACGCCCTGGTCGACGAGGCGGTGAGACCTCGTCATTACTATTGCAGCACAACTGCGTTTGTACACATTTCCCCTGATTCGTTTAATCCAGTTTAAATGAAGACTTGTCTTAGCACTCGGGGGTCAGCGAAGAGGTGACAGAACCAGACGGGAACAAGGTTCTTTGTAAGTTCACAGTGGGCACGAGCACAGTAGCGCGTGGCTAGCGTCCGAAGCAGCTTGTAAAGAGGAGGCTCACCTTCTGTATGAACATCTGTCCGGAGAACATGAAGTCGTCGCACTGCGGCCGCGTGTTCTTGTCGTGCTTGAACAGCATCATGTTGATGAACGTGATGAGGATGGACGGGGCGCAGAACGCGCTCGTCTTCACTATGTCTGCAACGGACACGCACCTTTAGTTCAAGTGTCGCTCCCCTCGGGCGAGCGGGGCGGGGGAGTGGGGGGTGGTACTGACCGGGGTCCTGGCTGCCGAAGTGTCCGGGCGTGGCGCCGTACGTGGTCCACTTGATGAACATGAGCAGCACCATGTAGAAGAACAGCAGGCTCAGGAACAGTATCTGGGGGATGAACTCCACGTAGATGCTGATGCGACGCTTGAAGTACCTGCATCAAATTAAATTTTATTTCATTTCAAAAGACAAACGCCGGCCGCGCGCTGCATTCCTGTCAATAGATACTTTTTTTAAATACAATAAAATATCTATACTAATATTATAAAGAGGAAAGATTTGTTTGTTTGTTTGTATTGAATAGGCTCCGAAACTACTGAACCGATTTGAAAAAATATTTCACTGTTTGGAAGCTATACTATTCCCGAGAGACATAGGCTATAATCGTTTTTGAAAAAAATTAGGGATCCTTACTAAAACACCAATAATGTAACCCGAGGTGTAAAATTTTACCTAAAATATTCATTATAGCGCGTGCCCTGCGAAAACTATTGATGATAGAATAAAATAATGTACTACGACTTTGTAGAACACATTATTGTTTACAAAAAGTGTCCTGACAGCATATATCTAACTATTATAGTTGTGCCGCAATAAGTGATCTTTTATTTAAAAAAAATCAAAAAAATTAAAACAATACATCATATGAGTCGTCTATTATCAAAGGTGGCAATCTGTGCATTTGGACAAAAAAAAATTATTGATATGTCAATACAGATTGATTTGAATATAATCGTCTCCTTCAAAGAATACGGTTCAAAACCTGCATTAAATAAAGGTTAATAGTTAACCTGTTATTTATCTAAGATGTCGTTCCGAAGAGTTTTGTGACTGCCGATGGAATACAAAGTCAATAATTCGTTTTTCTGATTTACCAATCATTGTCCAAAAGTCAGATTGCCGCCTTTGATAATAGTCGACTCATATAATATTGCCAGTTTTTTATTACTTTGATCAGCATTTGCAATGTCAAGTCCAACCTTTATAGTTTCAGTAAGCTGACGACAGACCTGACATAATTCATTGAATAAATGAATGATAGCCCGGCCAAATGAAAAGTCATCAGACAACTCAACTTTGATGTTTTGTTTTTCCACAAATAACTTTAATATGATCAATGAAAAGCAGTCTCAGAGGAAAGTCTAATTTCACCGGTGTTATCTTGTGTATAAGGTAAATATACAAGGCATCGAAGTTCAGCGAAATGGCTGTACCGCTAGCATTGACAATGTCCAAACGTGTCTATCCATGGTATGATAACCACTTTACAATCAGGGGAACGTATGGCATTTATGTAGTGATGTCTATGGGGTAACCAATTAATATAATTCACCGGTTGTGTAGTTATTCACATATGCAATAAAATCATCTGAATATTTATTTATATACAAAGGTGTGCATATATTATATGTGTATGTGCATATTATGTAATATTTTGTTCGAACATTCGTAACTCACAAATGATTCCAAAGCGAGAGACAGACACCGAACAACATGTGGAAGACACCTATTATGATGGAAATCTTCATCTTGTAACCGTTCATGAAGATAATCTTGTTGGCTTCTGCGAGCTGGAAAAGATATATAATATGATTTTTTACCAATAATATTATAAACTAAACAGCCCGAAGTAATATCAAACGGCCAGTGAAGGTCCTGAAGGAGCGCGAGTACAAAAGTGCTCTTAGTTTCTCCGAGGCTATGTCATTTAAAGTATGCGAATTTATATGAATCTAATGAAATAGAACCGACATTTGTTTTTCTTTTTTTATTGCGCTTATAGGTAGACGAGCATACGGCCCACCTGATGGTGAGTGGTTACCGTCGCCCATGGACTTCAGCAATGCCACGGGCAGAGCCAAGCCGCTGCCAACCGTTAAATACTCTCCACAAACCCCGTCTGAAGAAGGACATGTAGCGCTCGGGAAACACCTCAAACCAGCTTTATTCAAATATATCTTTCAAAAAACTTGGCTGTATGAACTACGATCCCTTTGCTTTTCTAATAAACAAAAAAAAACGAGTTCCGGATGCTCGGTCAATATCTGTATGACGCTCACCTGCCAGACCGGGTCGATGCCGAACGGGTAAGGGTACTGCAGGTAGTCGTTGGAGTCGGGGTTCAGCTGCAGCAGCTGGTTGCTCTGCAGCGTGGAGCCGTCGTAGTTGTTCCTCCACGACGAGCCGAATATGTTCAAGCTCTTCGAGAATATGTCGTTGTATATGAGGCCCGTGTACATCGAGAACAGGCCCATGAGCAGGATGATGTAGCGACCGCCGAAGAATATATTCCAGATCTGCGGAGAAACGTACAGAGGTGAGCTAATTGTTCGAAGCTGCCGCGGCCTGGGAGATAAGGCGCCCGGTGCACATGGACGGTGCGAGGGTGCCCGAGTTCAAATCCCAGCAGGAACTTTTTTTTTAAACATCGTATATCTTTGATTTGTATTTTTATTGAATTGAATTTAAATTTCGTGTCTTAAGGTAGACGACATGACACTCACATTTTGCAGTAGCCACTTTATACTTGACGGACTGTTAGCTAATATGCCTATATACCATATTATATTGTTTCATGTTGATTATTGATGAAAAAGACAGCTCTGTGTGTCTGTGTGTTGGTGTGTACCTACGTAACACATTTACAAAAATAATTTTGTGAAACTTCTTTGCGTTGGCTGATTGCAGCCAAGTTGCCTAAAGATCGTAACTGCTACTGCTTTGGGTGACTCAAAATATTTTTCGTCGTTCGGAAAACGTATGCGTACATACACAAACAATACCGCATTGAATAACTGCTTAACTAAATTTTAGTTAACTAAGTTTTTTTTTCTCATCTAATTATTTTCTCGCGAAAACCGAAGACAGTGCATCTGTGATTGTGTATTAACGTTTATGGTGGCGCGGGTCCGGGCGGGATACAGACCTCGCTGTCGATTTTCTTGGCCTGAAGCGGCTTCTCCTTGTAGCACATCCAGAACCCGAAGGCGGCCATAATGGCGCCGTGGCCGAGGTCGCCGAACATCACCGCGAACAAGAACGGAAACGTTATGACCGTGTAGGGCGCTGCAAGATGAAACACATTGTTGACAGAGACCTTTTTTTTAAGGGATTTTATGACCTGATAACTAAGACCTTTAGATCAAGTCTTATTTAAAATTTTAATGATACGTAACTTTCTTATATGAAAATGATATTATAAAATGAAATGAAGTGTAATCTCAGTAAAATGGTGATCATTTACTGAGACTTTTTCAGTGGACTTTTGGAAGATCCCGAGATGTTACATTTAGTGGCTTTGTTTCATTTTCCCACATTTGTGCACTTTCATAGATACTAAACAGTTTAAACCACCATTATGACACATTTAAACCTGAAGAAACACTAATTAGACAAAATAAAACAAATCACACAACTTCACTCCTCGCGGGGGGTTGGGGGGAGATGTCGCGGCGAACTCACCCGGGTTGACCTCGCGGTACGTGGCCACGCCGTACGCGTAGATGAGGTGCTGGAAGGCCGAAGTGAACTTATTGGTCCTGTTATACGTCGGCGGGTCTTCTATAGTCTCCATCCGGTTGAGGATCGGGGGAACCGAGCTGCCACTGCGTTCCTGTTACAAATAGATTTTTTTATTGCTTTGATGGGTGGACTAGCTCACAGCCCACCTGCTGTTACTGAATACGGGTAGGCAGGGCGGCGTTACCTACCCGTGCGGACTCAAAAGGTCCTACCACCAGTATAACCACCACTGTATATCCATACTACCACTATATATCCAAAATACATAAACCCCTAATGACATCAGGTCTGATCGACAGCACAAGCTCACCGTTCCTCTCCTCAGAGCCAGTTGGATGGTCTCCATGTCGAGCGCGGGCACCCAGCACTCGGCGATGAGGCACTTCTGGGTCACGTCCAGATTGAACAGATTCAATGTGTGGTAGATGGCCTTGATCTTGCGCACTTTCACGAACCAGTTCTTAATGTTCTTGGCGGCGGCGACCAGCACGCGGTGACGATGGTCCTGGGTCTGACCTAAGACCTGGGAGTTCAGATTCGAAGTGGTTAGTGACGTGTAACGAAAAGAAAAGTAATAATTATACAAAACCTAAAGTAGTGTATACATAAATTATTCTTTAAAGCATATGGGGATTAAGGCCACGTCCCATTTGGTGTCAAGTGGTTATCGAACCCCATCAATGTCATTAATACCGAATTCCGACAACCAACTAGAGCAGAGCTGTCCAAACTACACACATTTGCGGGTTAATTAAATTAACTACAAAAGATGAAGCGCCTCAAAAAAAAAGCAGTTATCAAGCAAAAAAAAAATACGTTCCGGGAATTCCCCAAATAATAGTAAAAGATAGCTTCAATTTTAAATGGGAATGGAATGTTGCCGGAATAAAGATAAATTATACCAAATATGGATTATTTTGACAAATCATTCTATTATCCGTTAGTGAAACGTAACAGGCGAATTAATATTTTTGTTTACATATTCAATATCAAGAACAGAAGTCTAGTTATATTAATATTAAATTAATTAAAATTCTATTCTATCTAGAATTTTATTGCAGACAGTACATACTATAGGAACATACACACTACGCTGACCTTGAATTCTGGAGTTCAGAAGGTGGTTATTTGAAATAATTATGGCGGTGACATTATTACTACACACATTAACATAATTATATATAAACGTCGAAAATTTACATCGCGCAAATGGTATAAAAAGTATGTGTATTTTGATGAGCAGTGGCAATTTACTGCGTTCCGGTTCGAAGGGTGAGGCCGGCCATTAAGTTCGTGAGGTACAGTTGATACCGCGACCTCATGTCTCAAGCCCAGTGACCAACAAATAACACGAGGCACATCAAGAGCTTATCCGCATCTCTGAACGAAATACTTGCTTTTAGTTTTTTTAAATTTCAACTTCAGTTACATTGATTTATGGCAAAAATCGTACTGGGTTTTAGGAGACCGCTTCCGAAAACGAAGATAGACTAGTATTAATGACACCTTTGATGATGGGAAGGAAAAAGATCGATCATGATTTAAAAAAAAATCGTATGTTTATAACGTTTTATTAGCATTATTTACGCTCCATCAGGTTAGCACAACTACATTTTTTTTTTGTTTTTTTTTTTTTTTTTTATTGCTTAGATGGGTGGACGAGCTCACAGCCCACCTGGTGTAAAGTGGTTACTGGAGCCCATAGACATCTACAACGTAAATGCGCCACCCACCTTGAGATATAAGTTCTAAGGTCTCAGTATAGTTACAACGGCTACCCCACCCTTCAGACCGAAACGCATTACTGCTTCACGGCAGAAATAGGCAAGGCGGTGGTACCTACCCGTGCAGACTCACAATAGGTCCTACCACCAGTGAAATAAAACAAAGCGGTCTTCTAATACCCAGTATACAATAAAACCATGAAAAATGGATCAAGGGTTATTTCTAAGACACAATAACCGTATCAAATCATCGATTTCGATTGGCATTCTCCATTTTTATTTATCGCTGAGAGCAGCATTCGTCCAACACTAATCAAAAACAATGAGCAATGCTAATGAGAATTACGATTAGAATACCTACAATCGTACATAACTGCGGCCCCTGAAACTGCGATACTTTTCAGACAATTTTTTTTTTTTTTTGTATTGAAACTATCGACATCTTGTAGCGGATGCCCCTAAACTTATATGTTGTTAAAGTTAAGGCATTTAATTATTGTGTAACTAAACATAAAAAAATTATATATATGTGTTATAGACAATTTGATAAAATTTTATCAATTAGTGTTTTAAAATTTTACAAAGTCCTTCATTAACAAAAAATTAGGATATGTAATTTGTCACTGCCATCAACGCGAACAATGAGAAACTAATCGAAGCGAAGCCATCTAGTGGCCGACGCCCGTAAACATTTTTGTTGAGTGCTTGAGTTGCTTATCTATAGCTAATTTATGTGTATTATCTATGGTACATAAAGTCGCGCCGTTCGGAAAACAAAGAGGCACAAACCCAAAATCGTATGGACTGATAGCACTTACGGTGTTCAGATCCTCGATCCTGGTCATGACGCCCATGGCCATCTCCCGGCGGTCGGCCGGCGACTCCGGGCACGGATACAGCGTCGCCCTGAAACCTTCGCATATTTTCTTGACGCGCGTCTTCAGCTGGTCGCCTTGGAAGAATATGATGAACACCGATTTGTAAACCTGATCCGACTGAAAAACCAAATTAAGACGTCAGCTACACTTACTTCATTTTATTCAGTTTCAACGAAATTCTGAAATAGAATAACACGTTGGTATCCTATAGAGAAATGCTAAGGACAGAGTAACGCAACAGAGTACTTAGAGATCATTCATTGATTTTTATTATTGCCCATCTGATGGTGGGTGGTTACCGTCGCCCATGGACTTCAGCAATGCCAGGGACATAGCCAAGCCGCTGCCTACCATTAATACTATCCACAAGTAACTATACTTGAGACCTTACAACTTATATCTCAAGGTGGGTGGCGCATTTACGTTGTAGATATCTATGGGCTCCAGTAACCACTTAACACCAGGTGGGCTGTGAGCTCGTCCACCTAAATAAGCAATAAAAAAAACGGCTGCCCCACCCTTCAAACCGAAACGCATTACTGCTTCACGGCAGAAATAGGCAGGGTGGTGGTACCCACCCGCGCGAACTCACAAGAGGTCCTACCACCAGTAATTACGCAAATTATAATTTTGCGGGTTGCAATAGTTGATAGATAGTTGTAATGTTGAACAAAATTTTACGGGAACACTCTTTGACCAGCTGAGAAGTGCGCGTTTGGGATGGTATGGACATGTGATGAGACGAAATGAAAATGAGGTTGGTAAGAAAATGTTAACTATAAATGTGGAAGGATATAGAGGAAGAGGTAGACCTAAGAAGAAATCGATGGATTGCGTGAAAGATGACACGGTTAAGAGGGTAGTGAGCGAAGAAATGGTATATGATAGAAGAGTATGGAAGGAGAAAACATGTTGCGCCGACCCCAGGTAACTGGGAGAAGGGCAGGATAATGACGATGATGATGACTCTTTGACCAATCGACTGAGGAGTCTTAAAGCTCTTACTGATGATGGATCTTCCAGGGGCGTGTCGATCTCAGCCTGCCTCAGGAACACGTTTCCCCTGCAGGCCCGCCACAACATGCGCTCGAACGCCGGTATTCTCTCCCTCAGAATCACGCCCGCGACGAAACTGAACACACGGGTATTACATTAGCAAAATCATATATCTTTTTAATTCTATCAATAGACAGACACTGTTTAATTTGAGAGAAATTTTGTCAACTAACAAAAAAACAAATATATTCTTCATAAATGACAAAATTTCTCATTCAAACAAATACCAATTATAATTCACGTGCAAAATACTAAATTATTAAACTTGATTGATGGCAAAAAAACATCCAAATATTCGAAGCAAAAAAAAATCCGATAATCATCTATGTATTATTATAAAACTTACTATCCTTACACCATTATTTATAAGTATTTTTTAAACAGTTTTTTTGATTATTTTTAAAAAAACCCGTTAAAGGTCAAAAAGTATTTTCTTGTCGTATATTTTTTTATTTTATTTATTTATTTATTTCAAACGCTCTTCCAAAAAAAAACTAATATGATAATATAAAATTATTAGTTTTTATTTGTTGAATAAATTGTGTTTGAGGACGTTATTAATTTTAGTTTATAGTTATATATTAACTTACCTTGTTCTAATATTATTGATGTTTTTTTTTTCATTTATACAACTTTATGGAATCGTATAACATGTTACAATTTCATAAAGAGTAGTCAGAATTGACCCTTATTAACATAGTATTAAAGACATTGATGTATTAAAACGTTATTTAATTTCAACTCGTAGTGCATTGTTCATTTAGTGCATATTTTAATCAGCGTTGTTTAGTCATAGGTCACAAAGGTTGACAAATGATTTTCCTCTCTAGGAGTATGAATATAAGGGACGAAATTACAACCGTTGGCAGCATTTATCGTTTAATTACACCCATCAATCCTTTATGAATATCCTAATAATACAATCGAATCATATAAAATCATATTAAAGGGTGAAAGGTTATTTGTTTTAAGCGAAAAGTGTCGCAAATTAACATTTTAATTTTAAGGTTAAGCATTTAATTTAATTTTGATGTTAGCCATTTAACATAAGCATTTAATGTGAAGAAATTGGAAAAAATATCTTAACAAAAAAAACTTCTTCGGCTATTCGAATGTAGTAAACTTAATTGAAGTTCAATTAAAAACCATCGAACTGTTAATGCTAATACTAAATAAAACGCACCTTTGATTACAAAGATAAATATCTTTGCTTTTCTCCCGATATTATATCTTCGGATTTCGCCAGTCGTAATTAAAACTAGTTTTACGGATGAATATCGGATTTTTTTTTTTTTATTACTGTTCTTATTTCCGACTTTTAGAGTACCTTGGTACTAGAAAAACAAGAAAATAAATAAATTGAAACCGTAAAATTAGTTTTAATTGCGTACAAAATCAATAATTGCAGATTTTTAATTACACATACGAGATTAAAGGCCTTCGTCTCCGGCAGTCGAGTAGTTAAACTAAGTTTTTTTTCAGCCGTTTTATTTTTTTATTATGTCGTATTTTAATCAAACCTTTTAAGTAAATAAATTAATAATTCAAATAAATGAGCTTTGAGAAATGGGGTGCATAGATGGATCAGTAGCTATAAATATTTTGTGAACAGATATGAATAGAAGGGTTATTTTGATAATATCCTGAAAAGCACCCCACGCTTTTTTACCATAAAATCATTTTTTCTTACACCATTTTTAATTCAAATTTATTAAAATTTATTTTTTAGTTGGATTTTCTATAAAAGCGTATTTTGTTAGTTTTTTTAAACTATTATTTATTGTTGTTATAATTGGATCGATTGACAACAAAGAGATAATATGTATAATGAAACACGTTTACGTATTAAATAATTCATATTTTAGCGGTCACGGTCGTCACCGCGATACAGTTACCATTGTAAAATAAGATTACAAATTCTCAATTATATCCACGTAATTGTGTGCTGTGTTCTTACTAAAGAGTGCGTGTCTTGTTTATAGTAGGTAATATAGTTTTTTTCCCCTAATATTTGAGTCGTCTATTATCAAAGGTGGCAATCTGTGCATTTAGACAAAAAAATGTTAATGATATGTCAATACAGATTGATTTGAATATAATCGTCTCCTTCAAAGAATACGGTTCAAAACCTGCATTAAATAAAGGTCAATACTTAACCTATTATTTATCTAAGATGTCGTTCAGAAGAGTTTTGTGACTGCCAATGGAATACAAAGTCAATAATTCGTTTTTCTGATTTACCAATAATTGTCCAAAAGTCACATTGCCGGCTTTGATAATAGTCGACTCATTTATAAGCGTTCTAAATGGATTCTCAATTCGTATTACGTGTAGGTTTTTATTGTAATGTGTGCTGTAAGATGTTATTATGAAACTCGAAATTTTCCCATACGCTAGTCACACACACACACACACACACACACACTACATTAAATGCAATAAAGAAATACATTATGGCTGTGTGCAATAGTGTCCTACAAATCAAAGCGATAAGATAGCGACGCGTTACGTAAGCTGTCGTCACATTACGATTCTAGACGAACATTCGTAATGAGAAGAAACTATGATGATAACGGATAAAAGAGATTTCGTGAAGTTGATTGTTCACGGGTACCGTGGGAACGAAATACTGAACCAGGTTACTTGTGATAAAAGAAAATTCTAAGTGAGGATCAAGTCGCAGCTGATATCTGAAATGTAAGAGACGAAGTACCTACAGTTTGGTGTTGCGTTTTGTGTGAACGTTCGTAATTCTAATGCACTGGAATGTTCCTAGAGTTCCATTGCAATCTATACAAATAAATAAAATTAGAGTGTCTGTTTGTCATAATAAAATAACCATTTTTTACTAAATGCGTAAGTATTGTATACTGCAGTACATATTATACCAAAATATATATTTTATTAATTTTTTGTGTCTGTCTATCTGTTTGTTTGTTCCGGCTAATCTCTGGAACAGCTGGACCGATTTTGACGAGACTTTCACTGATAGGTAGCTGATGATATAAGGAGTAACTTAGACTAGCTTCGCCCTGCGGAGTCATCCGCTATACGACAATAACCGCAAGTAACTCAGCTAGTTCAATATAATGTTGCAAAGGGAGTGGTAGCATATCCGTTCGCTTTTTCGGTCATCACGGGACATAGATCTTCGGTCACTGAAGGGCATAGGCTCAGTAGTGACATCATTACGTTAATGTCACTACCGAGCTGATGGATGGAAGAGTCAATTGTTCGGTATAACCGCTGTCATTTCCTTTGAGCCTACCGCTTGATTACTTCGTAACGAAACCGGTCGGAATGGCCTGATACCTATCCTTATAGAATCATAACACGCCCTCTTTTTCTCCTTGCCTTTATCCCACAATATGTATGGGATTGCGCAGATGTACTATTTGCCATGCAAGTGCAGCATACGTCATCTCTGCACTCAGCCCCTTCTCTCGCATATCCTCTTTCACACAATCCATCCAAGTTTTTTTTTTGCCCTTGATGGTGAGTGATTACCGTCGCCCATGGACTTCAGCAATACCAGGGTCAGAGCCAAGCCGCTGCCTACCGTAAGGTTTTTAAGACGCTCCCTTGTTGTATAACACACAATCACAATACGCCCTACCACCAGTAAATGTCAGTTGCCGATCGAAATATGGTGCTATAAAACTGCGAAACATTGCAGCCTATTTAACTAGAACCTTGTCTCGCAACTCTCAACTCATGCTTAGCAAATTCTCTATCTTAAATCGAACCGCTTAGGGTCGGTATTTCTTTAGCCTGATTAAAACAATATTTCCATTAAGTTTATGTCTATAGCTCGTCAGTTTGAGTGACCGGTGATCAGTAAATTAATACAATGGCTTCATTGTGGCTTCGCTGATGGCACATTAAATCTAAATTTATATATACGGTGTGAAGCCACAAGTTCGGAATGGATCGTAAATTACAAAATCGCAATCCTGACTGAAAACCATTATCTAGAGGCTATTGTTGCTTTGTTAGATAGAATTCAAACGAAAAACGAACATTCAAAAACCAAACAAGACCAACGGTAACTATATAGTTTCAAGACCAGCGTTTGCGACTTTAATAGTTACTCCATTAAAAACACATCACACAATTACTTTGAGACAAAAATGCCGAAGTACCTACGAAACGGGTCACAAGTCTGTGAGAATATTTATACAAGCCTGGCCATGAAGACTGTTAAGACAATAAAAATGAGTAACAATAATAATAACTGCTAAGACGGCACGAAAATTAAGAACGGTTAGCTGGTAGATAACTCAATTGTTGAGTTAAGCTCGCCATTTTATAACTTTTCGCAATTGTTGTATTGTATTAACTGTGTGTACAATAAAGAATAAAGAAAATTTATTGTGAAACAATACTAAAACAACGGCCCAGTTATTAAAGGGTAAAGCTATGTAACGGCATCATGTTTATTGTCAAAAATTATCCTTATAGCAAAACTCAGTACAGTAATAAAACTCGATTTACACAAACGTGGCGAAAAGGGAACGATTCTATCATTGCTTTGGCATTATTAGTCTTGAAATCTGGCCGTCGTCTACTTTTTTATTTTTATTTTTTTTATTGCTAAATGGGTGGACGAGCTCACAGCCCACCTGGTGTTAAGTGGTTACTGGAACCCATAAACATTTACGACGTAAATGCACCACCCACCTTGAGATATAAATTCTTAAGGTCTCAATTATAGTTACAACGGGTCCTTTCAAACCGAAACGCATTACTGCTTCACGGCAGAAATAGGCAGGGCGGTGGGACGGATTCCTTTTTTTTAAAGTTTATTTTATACAAAAACTTAGGCCTTTTATTTTTCGATTGAGGCACTACGAAGTCTGCCGGGTCAGCTAGTTTTCAATAAAATTTTCAGTCAATAAAATAAAATATTGTATTTGCAGACCGTTCTGAAAGGATTTTATTAGGGAAATTCTGTTATATTAATTTATTCACTAATGCGACACACATACTCAATGTTTTCCGGGTAAGAATATTTATGCCAAGACCATGTCAACATTATTCATTCAACTAAACATTAAGAAATAGACTGCCCGAATT